AAGGGCTGATCCGACTCCCCAAGTAAGTTAGATAGTCAAGGCGCTGAACCATTTCACACCATATTGTTAGACAGGGTATCACTGAAGACTAGTCCTGGGGCGACCTATACTCAAAAAAGAGCTGCAGTCCTCCAACGATGGCTTATAGCAAAGTGGTTTATCTGCACCTATCGTCAGTTTGATGTCGACAGACGCCAAGTGAGAAAATGTCTCTCCTTATGCTTTAAATAAGTGCTGACCAGAAACAAGTGGTTATCAGAGGGAAATTGCAAGAGACAATCACTATTCTTGGTTCATGAGCATGAGATTCCGTTGACATTTTCAAGATGTCTTTCTTGTTGGCTAACCTTTCCTACTTGAGCGTTGAGATCGTCACCTATTATAATAGATATACCTGGAAGTTTTGGTTTGTCTAGCAAAATTAATTGCTTTTGGTAGAATTCATTCATGCACTCGGTGGGTGTGTAGGCAGAGATTATGAATAGGCATCTGCTAGTCTCACAATCCTTCGCAGTTTTTACAGACCCATTCATTCGAACAGTATACAGATGGTTGTTGATTGGTACTCAGTGAAGTGTGCTTTCTTCTCGAGAGCTTAATGCCATCCCATACCTACACTAGCAAGTCGACGAGTTCTAGCCATTGAATCTCCGGACTTTCGTAAAGTGAATTTTGAGTATTCACCGCAATGTCCAGGTGAGGTCAAGTTAATAACCATATTCATGTTCTGTATACGTGTCTCAGAAACAGCATACGTCCGTGGCTCGAGATCCAAGAGTTCAGACGTTGAAAGTTCCAATATGAAGACGACTGCGGGATTTTAGGAGGCTAGAAATGAGGTTTCGATTGTTTTGATCGCTGTAAATGGTCTCTGAGTGAGCAGTTTCAGAAGTTGTAAGAGTCTTCATATTGATATCAGGAGGTTAATTCATAGGAGGATATAGAAATAAAGAGGGTAGGTTATGTTTGATTGGATTTTGTATACCTCTGGAAGCGTACTGGAGATTAACACCTGATTGCTCATACTGTGAAAGTTGTTTCCGCAGGGTACCTTAGATAAAAAAAGACTCTCTGTGACCGCAAAACTCATGAGACATCTGATTGATACCTGTCACACATGCAGCCTTTTTAGGATTGTTGGTATAAAATTTGTTTGTTATAACGCCGGATAGTAAAAACCCCTACAGCCGAAGCCAGTATGTCGTGGGGTAGAGGGAAGTGTGCTATTTTCGGAGTCACCCTCTTTTTCTCACCCCTTCCCACCTGGAAGGGAGTATGATACTAATGGTTATCCACGGAAAACACCTTAGTGCTGTCACACCCAGTCACGCCAGCAGTACGATGGCACCCTCGGACTCCCATCCTGTTGCAAACATTTGCTCTATAACGGTGAGTGGTTTCGATCTTTCCAGTATCCAACAAACCTTACTGGTGTGGTCAGACCTCGTGGGAACAAGTCTTCCTTCAAGTGTAGCTCGTTTGTTTATTGTGATACGCAAACCCGAGCAACACGTCAAGGTTAGGTAGTAACTATCTGTTAGGGCTGTGATGAGATCAGTCTCTGTGAAGTCACGTGGTGAAAGGGAGACCTCAATAAGTACATCTATGGTAGAGTTGAAGAAGGACAGAGAGAATGGATATCCTTGACAGACACAACCCACGTGACCGTTCTTTGTAGGCTCAAGCACCCCCACCCCATATATTCGGGTACAGGGCCTTCAACAAAGTTGTGTCTTTACTTCCTCGATATCCGTTTTAGTGAGAGACACTACCAAAGATCTTTCGATCGACAGAGTTAAGTATCACCTTTGGGTCGAGGAATGCAGCAAACATCAAACGTCGAAAATTGTGCTTGTGTTCCAGAAACTGGTAGAGTGAATATCTGGTCGATTCACCCACGACCAGGTTTGAAACGTACCTTGATTTGAACGGAAGTTTTTGTCAAAAGCCATGTAGGGTCACTTACATATAATTACTGGTGTAACTTTTAACTTTATGCAATCTACATTTTTACATGACTAGCCCATTTATAAGCATTAGACATCTGTCATCCATATAAAAGAGAGGTTTTAGTTATTTTATTCCTAGTCATATATATTTGATAAGGGCAGATGCTTCATTTCATTGAATATCTAGTTTTCACGGGTTGTGAATCTCTTCTATTTCCAACTCATTTTGAGGATTGTTACGTCTGTAGTTAGTTGTCATGAGCGTTAATCACTACTTCACTTTACGACATCATTAATACAAGTGACTAAATTATAATAGACAAGTTTTTTGCATTCCCTTAATTCAAGCTATAACTGACATGATTGATATCTTCGCTTGAACTTTATTCTTCACTAAAGATTTAATTCCATTGACGATATAACTGTTCTTCAAACTGTAACAGTAAAATAACAATGATAATAATAACAATAATAAAAGATGCGAAGAAAAATGTGTTAAAAATCGGATTAGATTTTATTCCTTAGTTTATCTTTTTTATTATGACTTGTAAGTTAGTTTATTTTTTCCATCTTATCATGCACTGAATTATTGTGTGTACTTCTAGTTGATTGCAATACCTATTTCACAGCATGTAACAATTGTTTGTCAGTTTCTTTTATCTCCTTTTATCTTAGTATTTTCAATTTTTCTTGCTTGGAATGTGATTATTTCTACGCTTATTATAAATCAACAAGCAAACCACTACTGGTAGTATGTAGATGACATACATTTCTTCCAGTTTGATACTCATTAGCCTAGTCTACCTACATCCTACTATAGATATTTTTAGGTAGGTTCTGTCCTGCATGGTATGCATATCTTCAAGTGTCAGTACTATCGACTGGGTTATCAACGGTAGCTTGAAAGAGACGAAACAGGAAGAAGTTGTGTATTAAAACAATTTATTACTTCATTAAATTACTTGTTGTTGTTTCGTAATTTTTTCTTCAATATAGTTGGTTCCCTTACTCTAATAACTGTTACGTATAGTGAAATTGACCGACTGACGGGAAAAAAATTAACGTAGAACCTCGCACACAGGTGCATCGGCTCAAGTTGTCGTACTTCACAGTAGTATACAAGGAACAATTGCATAAAAAAAGTGATATTAAATTAAACATAGTTGTATGAGGGGGTAAACATTTGGAAGGTAACAGTTAGTGGAGATATTCAAACTTAAAATGTCAATGAGTGAATACTTCTGCACCATCGCGACTGACTTTCAGCCATGTTACCAAGAGTCCTCAACCACTGATTCCTATCGCCTCGGTGACCCCACCCACGTAGTCTGCATCTTCACACACAGCTCAGACCAACAGTCAACGACTTCATGGACTTGTTCCAGGTCTTGATCTGGTTACCCTGAACCCTCTTCCACCCTAATCCAGCTTCCATTAGTATCGCACGTCGAGGTAGGCGGTGACTTGGCATGCGCAGTACATCTCTAAGCCATCTGAGTTGACTAAGGTTCACAACCCCATCAATCGACTTGTCTACCTTGCCTAGTTCCCTTCACCTGACCTCAACGTTGCTCACGTGGTGATTCCACCAGAGGCGAGCAATGGTACTAAGACACCTATGAATAAACCCAAGTAATCGCTTTATGTCTTCTACTTTCAACGACCATATCTCACAGCTGTATAGCAGGACAGAACGGACTGCAGCGCAGTTACTCGTCTATTGTTAGATAGTCGGATATCTTGTCAATCGGCCTCACAAATGATGCCGGTTGGCAAATGCCAAATGAGCCTTTTGTATCTGAGCTGATGTGACTCTCGCCAAGTAAGTGAAGTGGTCGGTGCATTCCATCATTTCACTGCGATTGGTGTGTCTGCACATCATTTATATACCACTTCAATAACTTCGCAGATACGTTTTTTGATATGATTTTGGGATAAGCGTTTCATGTTTCTACAACAGATGGTTGCACGCAAATTTCCCTGATAGTCGACGTAAAATCATGTTTACGGCTTCTATTTGATGCACATCTTTTGGGGATATGTGTCGTTTGTGTCCTACTCCTCCTTGTTGACCGATGTTTTTACAGCTAGAATGGCATGAGTTGTGTCGTTTTCGGTGTTACTTATTCAAAGAAGATATGTTTTGTCCTATTCTTGGTTCATCTTCTGGGCGCACCTACAATGCATCATGTGGTGACCAGTCTTTTAGTCAGTCAGTATCACACGTTATCTTGTCGATACTGCCTATTGGTCCAAATTCATCATCATCAGCATATCCAGATGCAAGAGGATAAGATGAAAGACAGAAACAAACAATGAAATTAAAAGTCGTAAGGGACCATCAAAGGAGAAGAATTTTGAGTTATACAGATAATCAGATGTGATGTAACGATAAGCATAAAGATAGTGTGTGGATGCATCTACACCACTTAAATATATTTTAAGCAATATCTTATATAGTCTCCAGCCATCAAATTTGGTTTTCTGTCTAACACTACATGTCTACATTTCCGCATACAGTTGAGGAAAATAACTGGAGATTTCATGGATTGGTATCGTGTTCCAGTCTGATCTTTGACCTTTTCGAAGCCTGACTCGGCACGTTGGATTAGACTGTGACTTGGCATGCGTAACACTTGTCCCAGCCATCTGAGTCGATGATGGCTTATAACCTCATAAACTACCTTGCTACTTTTTCCAAAAGCTCTAAGTTTAACTCCTACGTTACTGACATGGTAGCCTCGTGACACGCAGGCGATGCTGTGAAGGTAATGGTGGTCGAACACCTAAACTCTTCTATGGGTGATCATACTCTTGCTGAAACTCAAAACAACCACCCGTCTCTGCAACTGCCAGAGCCGTTACCCAGTATGTTATTTAGTTGTAACAGCGGTATCGTGCGTAGCGATTATGCGTTGTTATCTGAAAATTGTAGTTAATTGCTGTACATTATTTTCGACTAAATCAGTCGATCTCTGTTATCTTTATTCTAGTTTTCCAAATGTGTTCGGATTCGTTAAGTATTGTATGTTTATTTGTCTTTATCATTAGGTGCTGTCCGGTTTGTCCTCATCATAAATTTCATCATCTTAGCTTGTATATGCTCATTTTTCCTTATGGGTTGTAAAAATCCTTCAATTGCTGGACTAACAGTACCATATCCTGAGAGGTAAGTGAATATCTCTTTCTGTTCAGTGTTTTTTCGTTTGTATTATTGAGTCAAGTAGTTTTTGAATTTTTGAGCTTTTTTTTCTACCTGAGTGCTTTTTCACATCTACAAAGTACAGATCATTGTATTGAAGTACTCGATGCACGTAGCTTTCGCATGACCATTAAGTAGACAATATCCTAAGTGTAAGATTGTGCAAATGCCCATTGGAACCATAAGCTAAGAAATATTGTTTTGAAATAGTGGAGAATCTTTGTAACTCAGGTGTATTGTCTTCATTGTATTGTGTTCTCTGAGACTGGAAAAAGCTACTCAAATCTCAGAAGCACCTACAACCGAAGAAGCAAATGACTGCGTTATCAACTTATCACAACAACCACCAACAAAAAGTGGAAGAACTTCTTCCTCAAACAGGATCGAATTACAACACAAGAGATGCTTCCAAGCCAGAATTCTTTGCGGCATTAGAATCCTCACTTAAAACATGAGGATTGTCTGAGGTTACTTAACAAGAAATATGACAAACAATCATACCACTGACCGACCAGGCAGAAGAGAAATCATGCTCAGATGAACAGTGAAGAGCAGAAAACATTAAAAAGACAGAAAAGTCGGAAAGATATCGTTATACTTCCAGTAGATAAAGAACGCACTACAGTAGTCATGGACGAAGAAGACTACATGAAGAAGGCAGAGGAATTACTCAAAGATAAAAATGTGTATCAACCACTTGAAACCAACTCTATCCAAAAGTTCGACAACCAGATGAATAAAACCTTGAACAAACTTTTGAAAGCAGAAGAAATAACAAAGCAAGGCAAATGGCGAATGAAATCGAATGGATTTATCCTTCTTCGATTCTACGACAGACCAAAACTACACAGACCCGATATCCCTCTACGACCAATAGTCTCACTTGCAGGACCCCAACATACGACATGTCAAGAGAACTTTCGAGAAAACTGAAACACCTGGTTCAATCATGCGGACATTCCATCAAGTCACCAACAGAATTCTTAGAAGAGATCGAAAATATTAACATAGAAAACGATGGATTAATGATATCGTTCGATGTTACAGCACTATACACATCCATCGAACCTCGAATGGCCAAGGAAACGATATCCCTCCTGATGAATGAAGACCTTTGAGAAACCTTTCAGAACACACAAAAGTCAAATGTTGAAGTGTGATGGAACTCATCGACCTTTGTATGACAACATACTTCCAATTGAAGGACAAGATATATACAAAGAGATGAAAGGAACTGCAATGGGATGACCGATATGTGGATTAATAGCAGAAGGAGTGATGCAGAGACTGGAAGCCATTATTGTACCTGTGATCAAAGTAAAAATTTGTAAAAATTCGTTATGTAGACGACAGTTTTGTCATCATTGAAAGGATGATATAGAAAACACCCACAGTTTGATGAACAAGGTTTTGAATGACACCAGGTTGACAATGGAGAAAGCATTGAACAAACAACTATTATTTTGGGTGTTTTAGTCAGTAGGACAAATGTTGGAATGGTGGAAACCCAAGAAGCCCACCAGGAAGCCAACAGACACTGACGAAATCCTCAAGTAGAGTAGCAACAACGCAACAGTGCACAAAATTACTTGGTTACAAACTCTATTGAAAAGAGCGAGAACAGACTTCAGTAGAACAAGTTACTGGAGAAACGAAGAAAATTACTTGATATCCATCCTAAAGAAGAGAGGCTACCCAGGAAACTTTATCAACTTTGTCAGAAGATGCCTATCCCATACATCTTTAACTACGAAGTCATCGACAGAAATGAATGAACGCATCATGTAGGATGATGTACATAAAGAATATATCAGAAATCATGACAAGATTACTTAGTTGGATTGGTGTGGCTGATAAACCAACGAATTCGGTGAAAACACTATTATGCAGACCGAAGGATGCAACAAGAATCAGAGAAGACGAACTGAATATCACTTGGAAAATCAAGTGCAATAACTGTGGTCAACACTACATTGGACAAAGTGGTCACCATCTTTGCCTTCGTCTACATGAGCACCGATTGGCTATTAAGCGTCACGACATTTCGTCACTCATTTCAATGTATGTGGATAACAACTATGGTCATGAATTCAATTTCTACAATGTGGAAATTTTGGATGTAGAGAGGAAACTTAAAAGATATCAGAGAATTTCTAGAAGCTTGTCATCATTCACGTCATTCAACAGTGAGTGGATGTCTAGAGATAGACCCGATCTATCAACCAATAAGAAAAAATGCTGAACGACAGAAAGGTGAGAGGTGAAGCAGAGGAACAGCCAACAGGAGAGTCTATACAATCAATGACACAACAATGGAAGGAGTTAACCAGTTACAGACCACATCGTGAGAGCGAGGCATTAAATCACTGACATAGAGATATTGACAGCTCACTTCATAGTGAAGTTAGTGTTGAAGATGTCGTCCAGATGGACTATGAAAGCTTCACGATTAAACAACTCAGCTGGAAGAACACAATACAACCGAACTGTTGTTTTTAAGCGTAATGGACTCGATAGTAGGATTAATTTTTTAAATGACATTATGAATCTTCATTTGCTGAAGCGACTGGGCCTTATGTGATACCTTTTCGAGTCTTTTTTTTAATCTCAGTGTTATCTGAAGTAGTGTGATATTGAATGAAAGCTAATGACGGGCAGATCGAGACATTATAAGTAGTCCACGAAGTTTCTTACGATTGGTTATAGCTTTTCAGGGAAGTGTAGGGATCGATAATTTATGACACCGTAAAAGTGTACACAGTCTTACATATGGTTGTAGTCTCTATTTACTTTTAAAATCTTGAAAAGTTTATCAATCTGTATATATTTATTTGCTTTCCTTTTTCTTCTCTTTTTTAAATGTTATAACTGAGACCACTGTCTTTTATGTACTTGTATATCTGTTTCTATGGTGTTATTATCAAGATATCGCCTTATTCTGCAGCAGAATTGTTTATGGTAATCTCATCAGTCATATCTCTTGTCACTAAAGTTTTGAGAAGACTTCAGGTCGGAAAGAATCCACCTATGGGTTTTAAATAGTTGAAGCTGAAAAGTAATATTTTTTGAAGATGGATTTCTATTAGGAGAGTTGGTGATTTTCAATTCTTTTTGTAGGTCGTGTAAACTTGTAAAGAATGAGAGCAACAAACTGATGAACAGAATAAGAAGAATATTTTTCTTATTTCTTACAACTCGCCTCAGCTGGTTTAAACCACTGAAATTCGAATGTCAAATTATGACGAGAATTTAATGTAGTCAAGTTATCTAATAGACAGTCGATCGATGGGGGGGGGGGATAGATAAAGTTATTAAAACTGAGGTCAGGTCATATTTGTATATTTTATTCATCAAATGACAATCCTCGAATAGTTTTAAGGGTTATAACAAGGGATTTTGGAAATTGGTTTGTTTACAAGTTAAAGTGTTGTCAATTAATCCTTGACAACAGTGGCTAATTACAGTCAAGTCTGTGATTGCGCCTTCCTCTGATTTCATGTTGTGAACATTTATTCCGTTGGAGAAATGAAAGTAAATGATTAGTGACCTATAGTCAATGATTAGATGATATGTCTGGTTAAATATACTTTATCGTCTTTGATAATCATGCCGCTGATATCAGAAAGTTGCCAAACATATACGGTTATGAAGGGAAAAAAGGGGGGAGGTAGAGGAACCTGAGGGTTCTGGGTTCGATGTTTGGTGTTGTGGGGTCATGGGTGCCCACTGCTGATGAGCCCCGTACTGGGGCGAAGCAGCTGTTTAGTACTCCCAGATTTCCAGTGTTCCTCCAACTGATGTCATCCCATGGTGACATTAGGTGACTGACTGACGACTAACTAACTAACTGATGCAGTAAATTGTTATTGCTTGTTAGTTAACGATGTGTGTTTTCCTTAAATCTGCTTCCTAGTATTGGTGCCTTTGTTATCAATTATTTGACGTGTTGATGTAACACTGCCTACAATCAATCACTCACGCAATATGTATGTAGCTATTACAATGGAATACTTAGAAGTATGTAACGCAAACTGTGATCAAGCTTTGTGCTGCATATTACCAGTGATAAGAAAGTTGATGATTTAGACACAGATAAAGATGGTTTCTTGCTATCATGTTATTTTAATACGGGTTGACAGGTAAAGGTAAAATGAAATCCTCAATCACAACAGGATTCGAACCATCAGCCTCTGTATTATCGACTGGGTCTTCTGCCAATTGAGCTGTGAAACCCAGATGGTAACCAGATCATCGCTTCACTTGAATTATCGTGGATTATCGCATGAGTGTCATGTGAATGAGTGATACGCAACTGTCGATTCGTTATAATCACACTACCTATCCAACCAAACTTTCTTGTGCCATTCCTATATTTGTCTCGTAACTCATTTGATAGAGTACCTGATCGATAATCTACAGGTCGTTGTTTTGAATCTCACCGCGACACCTCTTTTCATTTCAGCTATCGCCTGTTCCCTGACATTGGTGTAGAGGTGTGCTCACTTAGCCAAGAAACCCGCCTTTAGCTTAACCTAGTGTATAAGATTAGACTGACTAACTGATTTAAGGTTTTACTGAAGTTACAGCTCAAGATTTTGTAAAATTATTTAACCTGATGAGTAACAAACTGTCATTCTAAGCTATATGTAACTATCAAATTTTACTTCTTGTAATCATCGGCCTTATTGATTTGCACGTTTATTCTGTTATCTTTGATTGCATCATATAGACGACTTACGTAGCGTATACATTCCACACGAACATGTCACGATTGTTGCATAGTCTCTTTTCTGATGGAATAGATCAATTTTTTGGTACACAACAAGAAACAAGTATCAGGTCATCTGTTAATGAACTGATCTCAGATAATTAGATAGATTAGTCATGTTTTCTATGTAATGCTTTACCATATTGATTTGCACGTTTATTCTGTTATCTTCGATTGCATCATATAGACGACTTACGTA